TTTTACTGGCACAGCCCCAAAGCTGGCAAATTGCTTCATTTCCACCAATTCCTTTAAACAAAGTATATGTAATTAAAAAGGATTTATACAAATTATTTGATTAAGAATAGTTTTATTAATATTGTTTTAAATAACTATAATAAAACAATACTCATATCTAAACAAAACATGAAGATTCTCCTAAGCAAGCCTAATTTATGTAGTTCTCACCTCAATTTCTAAAGACATATTCTGCTTCCTATATAATAAGTTCACATCGAATGAATATCAAAAACCAACAACTCAAATCTATAATTATTTAGAATATAGGCTTTTTCTAGCTGGTGGCTGGACAGGGACATGATAAAATAAAATCAGAACTTCTTCATTACTTGTTTGCCTTTTAAAACATAACCCGTTTAGTAACCTTTTGTGTAACATGTATACCATGTTTCAGAAACATTTTCAGTGAAATATTTAACTAAAATATTTCAGAAACTTGTGCTTGAAATGTTATATGTTTGAAACGTTTGAAATATTTCTGAAATAATGTGTGCTGTATGGGAACCTAACCAACTAAACTCTCTAAACTTTGTATACAAACAATAAAAACTACAAAAAAAAACCTAGAACATAAATTATTGTTTTGTTTATATAAAAGCAAATAATAGTCAAACAAATATTAATAAAACATGATTACTTCTCCAGCAAGTAATAATAACACGATGTTGTAAATTAGCTACAAACCTACAGAAAAGTCAGTAACCAATAAATATATTATACAGCTAATAAACTTACCTCTATTTACGAGTATAAAACAATTTTCACTAAGAAACTAAATATATTGCAACGTTTTCTGCTAAAAACAACAACAATGTGAGCGTGACTTAACAGTTACAATATTTTAAGGTTAAAATTCATCAATAATGCAAGCGTGAAAAAATCGATTGAACAGGTAATTTCTAAGAGCATTAGTTTAGACGGAACGTTGCAAGTTAGTTGCAGTATGAAATGGTGGCTTTAAAAGAACTTACGATTTATTTTTAAAAATGTTCTAGCTACGTTGCAAATTTGCTACGGCATGAAACGAAGGGTTAAGTTCGACTTAACGAACTCTGCTTATCTTTATTCACGAAAATTCAAACTAAATACTTATATGTCGAGTAGAACTGTCATTCATAAAATTCATGACTATTTACGATGCGGGCGTGGTATTCACAGCCATTGCCAGTAGCTATTACATAATGAACATTATGTCAGAGTTAGAATGAAATACGTGTAAATACATAAGGGGCAAGTGTTTCAGAATTTTCGTTCATTTTCCAGAGCGAGAATGTTTTCTTTCTGTTATTATAAGTGGTTTCGGGAGAACTACATTCAGTAGTGGCCGTGGAGAAATAATATTCCATCGACCTAGAACTCACTCAACAACAGATCTTTATCGAGAAGCTGGATTAATAGATATTTATTTATCAGTTAGGTATTTGCCAAAATGATTATTACAAAATAATGTAAAGAAAACATATTTTAATGACCATGCAACTATATATAAACTAAATTATGTTTCAATACTGAAAGCCAAAAAGCTATAGTTAAAAAAAGATTATGCTTACTTGGGACCTAAATTATACAATGGAATTAAAGAACATTAATTCCCTAAATTTATTCAAATTATAAATGCAATGGATATATTCGATTTCTATTACGAACCTGCACATACATTTCCACAAATAACGAATGTTATAGTATAGTTTAATAATTAAAAAAAAAAAAATGTTGATAATGGTAAGAGCAATATTAATATTAAATTTAATCTAGCAGTAATACCTAAGTAATGTTTTCTTTTTTTATATTATTCCGAGTGTTTTTTCTTTTTTATATTATTTGTAACATTATATAATAATAAACCATACTCAATGTGTCTTTTTGTGGGTGTTTTTATTCATTTACCTCGAATGAGTTTACATTTATATACATTGTACATTTTTGTAAATTAGTTATACCGCTATTTTGTTAGTTAATTTTAAGTCCCATTTTCTCAGTATCTTGTAAGCGACTCGTAAGGTAAAGGTAACTAAAACTATCAATAAAGATTTATCCAATAAATATATTCAAACATTTATCAACATGACATCAAAATATACATTTTAAAAGATTTTAAGACACTACAAGGCATTTTATTTCAGTTCGATTAAAGCAGATTTGACATATTTTTATTGAAAATTACAATCTGGCTGATTTTTAATGCTATATTTAAGCACTGTTTTCTTTTGTAAGCTTCGAGAAAATTTAACTAGCTATATAAAGCTTTTGACACAGAAAGAACCACTTATAACGGGTGGGCCATAAATATGTTGAATTTTAAACTGCGTGTTATTAATGAAATTGACAATTTGACTATGTCATTAATTGTTGACAGTAATTTAGTTTTATCCTTCCGCTAACCGAATATGCATCGCTTTAGTCTAGATCAACGTTTTGAAATACTCAAAACCTATTTTGAGTGCGACTCTGTGGTTGCCGAGACGCCGCGAAAATTGCGTACAAAGTTTGGAAGAAATGAGACGCCGTCAAACCATGGAATTAAGAATTTTATTGATAAAGTGCGAAAAACGAATGCTGGTGGTCAATATCAACTCGGCGTAGAAGTCAATATTTTGGCCTTTCCCGTGCTACTCTAAGGAGGATTATGCACATAGACCTCGGTATGTTTGCGTACAAAGTCCAGCTCGTTCAGGAGTTGAAGAAAGTTGATCATCTACACCGTTTTCGCTTCGCTGAGTGGGCTCTAAACCACTTGAACGATGACCCTGATTTTGCAAGAAAAATCATCTTTTCGGATGAAGCGCATTTTCACATCGGATGTTGTTAACAAACAAAACTCAAGGATTTGGGGCACGGAAAATCCACACGTCGTCGTAACAAAGCCCATGCATCCAGATCGAGTCACTGTGTGGTGTGAATTTTGGAGTGGCGGCGTTATTGGACCCTTTTCTCTTGAAAATGAGGCTGACCGCGCCGTTACGATCAATGGCAACCTCTATCGAGATATGATAACGAACTTTTTGTGGCAGGAATTGGATGATATTAATCTCGATCAGGTCTGGTTTCAACAAGACGGCGCAACTTGCCATACCGCCGCGGCCACCATCAATCTTTTGCGTACAAAATTTAATAATCGTGTAATTAGCCGTTACGGAGATGTTAATTGACCACCTCGGAGCTGCGAGTCAACACTACTCGACTTCTTTCTTTGGGGCACATTGAAGGATAAAGTTTATGCGGATAATCCTCAAACAATTGAGCACTTAAAACAGAACATTCAAGCTCAAATTGCTCAAATAGAGCAGTAAACTGTTGAAAAAACGCTTGAAAATTGGTGTTCCAGGATGGGCTACTGCCAAGTCAGTCGAGGTGGCCACTTGAATAAAATAATTTTCCATACTTAATCGGAAGAAATATTGTACTAAATAAAGTTAAATTTGTTGGAAAAAAATTAATTTTTCTTGTCTTCATTGCTTATTTATAATTCAACATATGCATGGTCCACCCATTAGTATTAATTTTTGAAAAGTTACAGATTTCCAGGCGCTGAAATCTCCAGAAATGAATTAATACCCCGTACATATATAAGTACGTCTTGCTTGGTATTGTAAACTAAATTGTTAGAAATATTTCTGTATAAAAAACTAGTTAGCGTGTAAAAAAATATTCTAAATTAGAAAAATGGTGGCATATAATTTTATAAATATAAGACACTCTTTGAAATAATCACATTTAACAACTTATCATCATGCCAGAACTTTTTAACCTTCTCTTAATTGCCTAGTCAGCTTCACTTTTGAAAATTAAAAAATAAAAATATTTTGGCGCATTGAAAATTTTATTAACCACAAAAATGTTTCTTAAACATTTCCAAAAGCCAAGCCGGCTTGGCAAGAAAATGCTTCAACTGCAATTTTAGTTCTGGCTCTGGAGTAAACAATCTGTTTACAAAGGGAACAAACCTTAATTAACACTCGTAAAACTAAAAAAATATTTACGTATAAAGAACTATAGTACTAAAAAAATTGCCTCAATAACATAAAAAATCGATTTTATATTAATAAACTCAAAATTAGTTTAAATAAAGACTTTTTCTACGATTGTACACGGGCGTAAAAGTCGATGTGGAAGAAAAGAATTAATACATGTATTTAATCAAAAGACTATTTTAAAGGAGACCGACGTTAAAATATGTGTAAGTTTTAAAAAAATATATATTTAGAATTGTTTTCGGTCCCCTCTCGTACATATATTTGGCTGTATATGGAATTTCAAAGCCCTTGTACAAAAGTACTCATTATTAACTGACCTGGGTTTCGGTACAATAATAAAAAAGCCGCCACCTGAGCCAAATATAAACTTATAAAATGACTTAGAGTCAACAAAAAAAAACTTAAATTATAAAATAAATAGTGCAACAGTGCATAAAATACAAATAAAAAACAATAAAAAAACATAATTGGTAAATAGAATGGATGGATCAATAAAATCATTATCAATTATATACTGAGTGTTGTGATCTAACTAAATTATAACACATTATATATTTAATTCGAAACACCCTATATATAAAAAGGTAGACAAGCGATCTTAGATGACACTCGAATTATTGTTCTTCTGAGTATTCTCGAAAAACATGGCATCCTGTGAACAAAAAAAATATTATTACATTATATATACAGATTCTGAAAAATAAATTGGACTATCCGGTAGTTGAAAATAGGTACTGTAGATGTGTACCAGATGTACGCAAAGAATATTTTTGCAGTGTATTATTTCAGTATTCGTTCGATTTTTCTGAAATGCATACCATCTTATTCATGTGATTACAACACCATTACACCCCCAAATCAACATACATACACCCCAGGTAAATATACTGATTCGGCCCTTCATCTAGTTGCTGGCCGGATAGAGAGATCACTGGAAAATAAAGGGCCCGCCTTGGGTGTTTTCATAGACATATAAGGTGCTTTTGATAAGACGACCTTTCCCAAGATAATACACTCACTAAGCAACAGGAATGTTCCACATATGGTTAGTGGGTGGATACACAACATGATCTCAAAGCGAGCAGTAAACATAAGTGTAGAAGATGTGAATATAAGAGGCTTGGTTGCGAGGGGATGTCCACAGGGAGGGGTGCTATCACCTTTAGTGTGGAACAGGGTCCTCAACACCCTCATCAGCCGCCTTAATAATGACAGTCACTACACAATAGCGTATGCAGATGACCTGGTCATTCAGCAAACAGGAATTTTGAGAACATACTCTCCGAAAGAATGCAAGTGGCTCTCAAAATTATAGAACAGTGGTGCAAGGACCATTTACTGTCTATCAATCCCAAGAAGATAGAAATGGTCCATTTCACAAGGAAAAGGATGAAAATGGAATTTAAAATTTCAGAACTCCTAAACACAAAGCTAAACTGCAACAGAAGTGAAGTACCTAGGCCTCACCTTTGACAGCAAGTTAACATGGAACTCACACTTAGAAAACAGAGTTAAAAGAGCATACATTGCTCATGAACAATGGCGCCGAACCGTGGAGTTTCTCCCCCAGATTCGTCGCATGGACTTACGCAGCCATCATAAAACCTATGCTAACATACGGTGCAATTGTCTGGGTACCGAAAACTCAAAGATTGACAGTTGTCCGTAAACTAGAACAAATTCAAATAACAGCATGTCTCAACATAACAGGAGCCATGAAAACCACACCGACCAGAGCCATGAAAGTCATTCTTAGTCTCACTCCCCTTGATATTTACATCAAGGAGGTTGCTCTGATGACAATGACGCCTCCGCACGATGAGGCGAGATGTCGCTTTTGGCAGGAGGCGCTCGATACGCTTCTACTGCTTCAAGTAAACATGGACTCCATCTCACCGAGATATATCTTCCATAAGCCATATAAAGTTATAACAGAAGAAATAAAAGAGCCGAAAGTGGCAGGTACGATTCATATCTACACCGACGGTTCTAAAACAAAACAAGGCTCAGGATGTGGAATATACTCCAGATCCTTAGACCTAAACATAAAATGGGCTATAAGCAGTAGTGCCAAACCGAACTCAAGGGGGTTCTCATAGCAGCAAATAAAAAAAAAAAAATAAAAATAATATCACTTGAAGAAACATGCTCATCTATACAGATAGTAGCAAGCACCACTCACCCTGGACAGACCACGAATTTATTCAGGGTTAGTACTAGAATGTCACGAAGCTTTGACCGAAGTATCTATCAACAATGTGGTTAACTTAAGATGGAAAATCATAGGTCTACTAAAATAGCTAGGAATATAGGTTGGTTTGTATACAATCCAGCTAGTTTACAAACTATACGAGATTTATCGCCAAAGTACAAACCACAAGAAAAGTACATAAATTAACCGGTCTTTTTTGCTAGTTTACAAACTATCCACAGTATTTTGGATAAAGTGTCACATCGAAAGGTAACCGTCTTGCTGAATCACTTGCCAAGAAGGCAGCCAACCAAATACTTTTTGGACCTGGGCCCTTCTATTGGACATACAACATCGGTAGTGACAAACCTAATTAAAGAACATTCAAGGAAAGATAGGATGAAACAGAAAGCTGCAGACTTGCCAGGGAGTTTTTAAGTTATCCCGAGAACAATACAGTAAACAATACTTAACTATGACTAGACAGAATCTGCACCGGACCACATGCATTCTGACTGGCCAGTGCCGAGTACGGAAGCATCTTCATAGCATGGGGCCGTCAGAAAATTATTATATACGAGAAAATTTCGATATGTGGCAAGAAAAGGTAAGATTTAGTACCTAAACCTATTATTTTGTTAGATAATTTATTTGACCTACTTATTTGTTTAAATATGAAGGGTACACGGGAAAATGGACGAATGTACCCAAAAAGAGTTTCCAAGAAAATTAATTTTTAAAGATTTATATGCTACCAAAACATATTTTTTGGACTATAAAATATGTGATAATGTTAATAAAGTAGGTATGTAAGTTTTTAAAATATTTAAAAAAATGGAAAATGTAAATAATTTTCGGAACAAACAGATATATTAATAATTTATTTGGATGGTTATATACAGTGGAGGTAAAAAAATTACCAGATACTCTTTATTGACAAATTGTTTTTATGAAAATTGTAGGTTAATCAGTATCTTTGGCAGATGAGCTAAAATTTAAATTTGTATAGTAGTTGTTTGAATTAGGATATTTGCCTCAGGTATACATTTTTGGAATCAAATATTTGAGAAGAATATAAAAATGTAATATTATACAAGGTGTTCCATTCAAAAAACATGAGGACGACCATGGCGAGGAGGGTGAAAATTTAAACGAGTATACGTGAGCAAAAATACATCCCCCTTTATATGATTTATTTTTATATTTGTTCATAAAAGCTTCACCTTTAAAATTATTTTGGGTAGATAGTTTTCATTGAAATTCCCTTTATTTCTTAGCAGTGGCGGCTTGTGATCAAAATATTAGAGATTTATAATGACAAAGTTTAGGTAAAATATTTTCAGTGCTTATAATATATCTTTCTGAAGGTTTTTTTCCTAAATCTGTACTGAGATCTATATTATGTCATTGTGATCCCTCAATATTTTGGTCTCGAGCCGCCACTGTTTCTTAGATCTATTTAGGATTCCCGTATCTTATACTTACAATCAAAAAGCATGCGCCTAACATGACCGCCTTCATCCTAACATCCAAATCCATAGGGAAAGTGATACCAAAGTAATCGGTATCAGTGAACATCTCTCTCAACAGTCCAGACCATTGTTTCGAAATTTTCCCAACTTGTACAGAGCCATCCCCCGACATTATTTTGAACTCCACGTCGCCGCAGATACTCCACGTGCATAATGGACCTTCAATCCTCAGTACCGTGTCTCCACTTGCATTTTTCACAGCGAAAGTAGGACAAAATATGCTCCATTCTTGTTCTACTGTGCCCACAACAGTACCTGGAGGCGCAGAGACTTCCATACTCTAAGAACATTATTTATACTTAATTTTAAAATTAAGATTAATTTCTAAATATAAAGATTCAGAACCGTATCATGGATATGACGTCTTTGTCGGTACTTTACAAACATTTTTAGGGGATTACTCTTTAGATTAAACATCAAGGTATAAGTTGACAAACTTGGGAAATTACACTGCATCAGTATCCCCACGGGGCTACTACATTTTTAACACAACAGTCCAGTGTTAGGACGAGCAACGATGTCATTTTAAAAGGGCTTGTCTGGTTAACAGATGGGGCCAGAACAGATGAGAGTATTGGAGCCAGTGTCTGTGACGTGCACCGAAAGAGAAAACTATTTAATAATAATACTCTCCCTAATTCACCCCCTTACGAGTGAATTTTAAACCCAAAAGCTAAGCTTGTCCGGGGAAACGGACTGCTATTATTATTATTTGCCGTGGCGCTCCGGGGCGACTTAAAGATGATTGATGGTATCATTTGACTTACAGGTGAGGAAAACCCCACCCTTGGAGAACATGTTACAAATTTTCCAGGTTGAAATATTCACGATTTTTATTTGCGTCCAGGGAAATAGTCTGAGTAGATAGTCAATCTTTTCACCTCTGAGTAAACTATAGTCTGCAGTCTAATCAGCTAGTTACTTTCAACTTTACTCATAGGTGACAAGATTGGTTCTCAAGCTAGCAAATCGAGGTTTGCTCTGACTGGCAGACAACTTTACACGGGCTGGCATTTTTCAGGATCATCTCAGGAGTGGCTCGAAGCTATGGCCCCTTTAGAAAGGAACAATCGTGCAAAGTTAGTAAGTACTTGGACATAGTAGCATTACGAAAACTAAAGAAGTTGATAAGCCTGCTAGGAAAGGTCAGGAAAATATTTTACAGTGCCTGTGCCACTAACTGGAAATACGGAAAGACGTCTGAACCACAGTTTATCGCTAAAGAATCAGTTAGCTCACTCGGATCAACTGGATGTTCCAAAATAACATCCACTCCAGGGATACAAATTCAGATGCGTAGAAGACTGCTGTTTGAATATAGGCGTTTCGACGCAGCTGTTTCGACGCAGTCGTTTTGACGCGAGGACATTTCGACGCCGGCCGATTTGACGCCGGGCCGTTTCGACGCCAAATGTAAATTTTTTTAAGTAGGTAATAAATTATTAAAAAAAAAATATTTGAAATGTCTATTTTTTTGCAGATCTATTCTTTGTATAAAATTGGGTAATTTATCTTCTTCCTTAAATATTCGCAGTAAGCATTGATGATAGCTGCAATAAATATGTAACCATTAGCTGGCTTATGTTCTCATTTCTATGAAAGGCATAAAAAATTAATCCCTAAAAATTAGGTACATGAAAAGATTTTTAATGAATTACCTAAATATTAATATTGATACATAATATTATATTAAGCAGTTTATTAACCCATTCTAGGTATCTGTTCTTTATGCTCTCCTGCCCAAAAAACTACATATGCCCGAATGATTGGTATGGTGGGACATTTACAGCCAGCTGCAAATCCGGAGAAGATTTCATGCGATTTTGAATTGGGTGCCATAAACGCTTTCAAATAAGAGTTTCCAAATGCAGAGCTGCTAGGTTGTTTTTTTAATTTGGTGAAAAATATGAAAAAACATTTGGTGCAAATTAATTTGCTGGGTCGATATAATACCGATGCTGATTTCAGTCTTCATGTACGAATGGTGACATCTTTGGCATTTGTTCCTGAAGAAGACATGGATATTGCAATCGACCATTTATTTTGAGAATTGTCTAACGAGTTGCAACCTCTAATAGAATGGTTCGAGGACTCATATGTAGGACGTCCTCAACGACAGGGTCGAAGAAGGCGCAATCCACTCTTTCCGATCACATTGTGGTTTGTCTACAACCGCGTTTTGGAGGGTACAGACAGAACGAATAACCACGCCGAAGCTGCACACAGACGACTTGTTCATGTCCATGGATAATCCAACCATATGGAAATTTAAACAACATCGCGATTGTGACGAGATGATTTCAAAAATCATTATCGATTATAAAAATAGAAATATAAACGAATATTTAAAAGCAATATCCATATAACTATATTATGCATTCTTTATAATAAAATTAAAAGAGACATTTCAAATATATTATTTTGTATGAATTATTACCTATCTAAAAAAAATACAGTTGGCGTCGAAACGGCCGCGTCGAAACTGCTGCGCCGAAACGTCCTAGACCGGTGTAAACCATTTGCAGAGATGGTCTATAACAATTATAAACTCTTGTTAGACAATTCTTTTAAACCATAATCATAGTAGTTTTTTTGTCGTTTCGATGGCAAACTGTAAAACTGAATCACAGCAATAGGCATACAAATAAATTTTTAAATCAGCAAAAATTTATTCATATTTTTAATGATTTTTAACTACTAATCGTGGATAGATGTTAAGAAGAAAATGTTTCCTTTTAACGATATATCAACATATATTTGAATATGTTATTTTCTGGAAAACTCTAAGGGCAATCAAAATTAGCGCTGTCATGCCTTATGTGATTTTTTTAATATAAAATAATTTTTTTTAACCACTTTGCTCAGGATTGGGATTGGCACAGGTGCCATTTGGCAAAGTACAATGTTTTTACATGCTTTTTGGGGTATATTTCATTTCGTTATCAGATGACGCTAAACATTTTCAGTGAGCTCTTGGTCTATTATGATTTGATTCTGTATGCGCCAGGGATACAAATCCGAGTTGCGCAATGTATAAACTGGAACATTGAGATCAAAAGTGCCGACGCAAAGTGAGCGAACTGATTCTTTAGCTATAAACTGTGTCTGAACTATCAACTTAAAAAGGAAACAAGAATATAAAGGTACGTATAAATATAGCGCCCTATACCTGCGCCGTGCCTGGGCCAACAACGGGCCAAGTTCGTTATACGGTGATACCTAAGGTTCGTCATCAAACGTAATTAAGTCGGTGGTTTCGTCATCTAAATTTGACTCCCCACGGTAAAAGCGATAGTGTCAGGTACTAGGACTACTAGTGTAATTTGAAAATGACACATCTGAATCAGGTTGTGCCAGAACAAGAACAAGATTATTAAAATTATGAGGTGCAGTAATTGCATTACTATATTTTACTTTATTAGTTTTAAAATTAGAAAAATATTTTAAATTATTTGAAAAATGTAGGATCATTGGTATCATCAATTAAATCATCATTTTCCCGAAAAGATGCCTGAGACAACCTTTTCGGGGACAAATAAAAATATAAGCTAGCGTGGATGTACTCAACTAACTCAAAAAGAAGTCACGGTTAATCATGTGTAGCGTAAAAGAAAAAAGTTCTGTTAAAAATCTCAGGGAAGTGGCACTATATATCCTTAATAGCCCCGATTCTTAAGAAAAAGACGTTCTATGTGTGCATTTAACTTCCGTGCAACTATTCTGCTAATTACCTAACCGTGGTGACAAAAACTTTCAGAAAAACACTCGAAAAACTTGGTTGACCCATTCGTAATTTGAAGATCAACTGGTCTCAAGCACGTGGGAATTTGAGAATTAAAAATATCAATACTTGTGGCAACAGAGGTGGTCTAGTTGTATAATATATAGAGATGTGGTGCAACAAATATGTGGAAACTGTATCTGGACAATTGGAAACTTTTGGTGCAGCATTTATTAGAGACCGTTCTATTCAAATTAATTAAATTAAATGACCATTATGAGTAGAATAATGGGGTTTTAAACAAAAACTATGTTGTATGGAAGTTGTATAAATGTGTGTGTTTTTTAGGTGTATTTAGGGTACATAACTAAAACAAGTGTTATTTTTTACGTTAATAAGTGCTGACTTAACATCAGTGGGCAAAAGGACTGCCCTATGACCGCGTCCTACGGCCTTTGAGTTCAGGCTAAAAACCGACAGAAAATGGAAAGTAACGGAACTACTTCGATCCTATTTGGCGCGACGCGTTATAGACACTGCACTGTATAAGATAAGGCGTAAATTGAGACACGTATAGCGTGTGTGTTGTGACGCAACACAGTGCGATCTTTTGTAACAGGATTGAATAGATCGGCGCAAATTGGCGCTTTTTTGCCAATTTATGCCTTGCCTAAATCTGACGAGCTTGGCCATTGTTGGGACGACACAGGCGTGGTGCGCTATATTTATACGCACCTTTAGTATAATCTGTCTCACTATGGGTTTGCAGCACGGTCATATGTAACTAATGTAACGCACACTGCCAAGTTTCTTCATAGAATTGTTTAAACGTACTATGCAGCTTTCAACCCTGTTTTTGTTATACAAACCGACAAGCGTTGTGATTAAATTTTGAGGACTTCTGGTTCATTATTTAAAGAAGGCTACAAGGAGTAATTAAATAACTTCCACAGATTTATTTGACCAACAATGAAATAGACCATAGATAATTAATTTAAGACAACGAGAAAAAACATTATGTATATGAAAAAGGACAATTTAGTTATCCTTGTTTTAACGTTTTATGTAATTTCAATTTAGTTACCTGTAAACAACATGGAAAACAACAGGAATCACAAGCTAGAGGTCTATGAAGATGTAAAACTTCGTTTCTATAATTATCCAAAATCTTCATATCGAAAGGTCTTAGTGGACCACAACAATTTCGAGTCAGGCAGTCGGAATCCTCAGCGGCATAATATACTTTTTGTCCTAAACTATTTTTTACTGTAAATTTATTTTGAGTTTCAAAGCCAGTGAGAGCTAAAAATTGAAGATTATTAAAATAATTTAAAACTTTTTTGCAATATCTATATTTTTACGATTATACCATCTTCGAGACTTTTAACTATTATTAAAGTACCTTCTAAAACTTCGACTTTTTGCTGGACTAGTAATTGATCAATCATAGTAAGGTACTCCAAGCCTGGCGGACAGTTCGGAATGCCTTGCGGCATATTCATCCAACCACCTGCAATAAATGATAAGTAAATGTATAAATACAGATAAATTATGAATAAATTCAATAATTTTTATAGATATGCTGATTTTAGGTCAATTTTTAATTTTGATTGCACATTTTTTACAGTATTATGTGTATTTACGTCATTTGCGTAATTTTTTAAATATGATAACCTCAAATTCGATAAACATTTAAAAAATCACATTTTTTAAATTACTTACTGATTATTGTGACAATATTAAAAATTTAAAAGACCAACTTACGATAAATTTAAATGAAATTGTTTGATATTAAAAATGTTTTGGTGTATAGCGTGTTAAAAATTAATTAAAAAAACAATATTTTACGAGTAACACCCTGAATAACTAAAAGTCTTTCCGATAGAATGCTAACTTCGATAAAAAAAATCTGATGTGTCCAACACATGACTTTCCTATCTAGTTATTATAGGCTTTTTTCGGTTATTTTGTACAACCTATTGCAGCACCTCTATAAATGTTTAGAGGATAAACTAAATATATACATTTTACACATACATCTACCTCGAAACATTTTTCTATAGATATGCATTGAAAACGAAAATACTGAAAAATTAAAATTTAGCACTCTTCCTCCAATTTTTACATTACGGTCCATTTTAGAAAAATCATATATAAACAAAAATTATAGAGATTGACATCGCAAACAACTTTTAGTTCAACAATTTTCATAAAAATCAGAATTTTGCACATTTTGTCAAATTTCTCGAATACGGACCATTTCAGGAAATTATGACATAAAGCAAAAATTATAGATAATAATATTAGAAGTAACTTTTATTTGATCAATTTTCTTCTCCAAACATAAATAAGAGACATATTCCATAAAATATAAAAACGGCCTCCCATAAAGTACCCCCCCAGATGTTCCGATTTTGTCCAAAATTTAATCATTTCACGTCAGGCCGAAATAAAACTTAAGTTTAAAATTTATTGTTTTTTTCTTTGTCCGTTTTTGAGTTTTCTTCAAAATTCGAAATTTACACATTTTCTCAAATATTTCGAATAAGGTCCATTTTAGAGAAATTATGTATAGAGTAAACATTATAGAGAATTATATTACAAACAACTTTTATTTGAACAATTTTTATAAAAAAATATATTTTTCCTTTTGTCAAATTTCTCGAATACGGACCATTTAAGGAAAATTTTGTATGGAACAAAAATTATAGATAATAATATTTGAAGTAACTTTTATTTTAAGAATTTTCTTATACAAACGTAAATAACAGATATATTCCATAAAATATAAAAATGACCACCTATAAAGTACCCCCCCAGATGTTCCGACTCTGCCCAAAAACTAATCAGTTCATTGGACGATGGAATAAAGCTTAAGTTTAAAATTTGGTGTTTTTCTGTGTATCGGTTCATGAGTTATGGTAGATACAGACACACACACACACACACACACACACGACATCATCGCGAAAATAGTCAAAACGGATTCAGGGGATCTCAAAACGTAAAAATCCGTCGAAAACTCGAGGTCGAAAAAAATCATGATTCCTATACTTTCCTTATATCTGTATACAGATAGGAAAGTAAAAATGACTTTTTAAACAATGGAAATTCAATTTAAATAAATTGTAGACTGTAATTATTAATTTCAGTGAATTTAGTCCAGTGTTTGAAGGTAATAATAGGCTTTTACCTCAGAATTCCTTTGGACTACACCGATTTGGATGAAAATTTGTATTTTTTTTTTTATTTCGGCTTAGTTTAGAGGAACAAAATTAAAAAGTTCAACGCACTGTATCTTTGAAACAACAAAGCATCTGCGGACCCATTTTGATATGAACTATTTGTACAATAAATTTGATGAAGATTTATTGTTATTGTAGCGTTTATTTTAAACAACAGTTTATTTGTTAATAATTTATTTGAACACTTATTTATTTTAAAACAATACTATTCTAATTTATATATATTTCGAATGTCTTTAAATTGTTCATTATTTATCTTCACAACTGTTTGTATACGACTGACTTCTCCGTGTTCCTCCACCAATATTTATATACATATTGTAAATTCCGGTGGTGCTCTAGAATGCTCTCGCCAAAACTACAAACATTATCACGTTTGTTCTGGAAAATAATTGAAAGCGCCTTCGCCATAGTCGTCACATATTTTTGGTCTTAGGGGGTTTAATTATGTATGATAATCGGACAAGTTGAGCCTCGAAGGCCAAATAAGACAGAGAGGGACTTGGAGGATAAGAGCAAGACTGAATAACAAAATGGCTCGCATTACATTATATTTAAAATAAAATAATTTAATAAAGAGTCCATTTAGATATAAGCTGGGAGAGTACTACCATCCTACAATGTTTGAAATAGATGTAAAAAATCTTACTCTTCTAGTCTGAACCATAAGGCACATCCATTTTTATTTAAACATTTCACTCGAATTACAGTTCAGCTATCGATAAGTGTGGATGTATGTTTAATAACATTGCTCCGTAACTAGGTCAATGTTTTTAGTCGTAATAGTTTACAAAAGTTACAATGATTACTAAATTTAATGTTTAAAAACAAAAATAAAAATGTGCCTATAAAAACAGTTTTGAAATGTGTCGAAAAGGAAAACAAAACACAACATCTTCCTCAAGGCCGTCGTCAAGCTACGATTCAAAAAAATCAAGAGGAATCCATGGAAACCATGGAACAAAATCAGGGTTTGTACAACGAGAATCAAGCTAGAACCCAAAATTAACAGGTATTGTTTAATGCACGTACCTGTGAAAAAACAACAAAAAGAAAAATTAGAAATTATAGTCAATCAGAAGCAAATACAAATCGAACTGATTCAACAAAAAATTCAAACCTCAGAAGGTAACTCAAAGAAGGACAAAGAAGAAATATCCACAGAATACTACACAGATGAAGAAGATCCGAGCCGTGAAAGAGAGTGAATAAGAATAAAAAACACCAAGAAAAGAAAAGCCAGCTCACAGCTAAGGTAAATAACAAACCATAAATTAAAAATATTAAACCCCCTCCAGTTATTATTAACAAACCAGAAAAATACTACGTGTTGTCAGATTACTTAATATAAAACAAAATACAGTATCAAGACACCGCTGTGTCTGGAGGTAATTTAAAGATATCTTACACAAGCGCTGAACAATACTGAAATGGAATGGTTTTCAATTGAAAATAAACAGTCAAAACCAATAATAGAGGTAGTTGTGACAAAATTGCATGTCTTGTCAACCAAAGTAAATCAAAAAGAGAACCTAAAAAATAAAAGGTTTCAATACTTGGAGCAGAAAAGTTAAAAGACAGCTCCCATATAAAGATGTCAAACAAATTTATGGAATTAAGGAAATACTCTATTTGAGAGTGTAAATAGAAGCCTACAAAAGCTTCCACTATTACCCCAATGTATAAACGATGCCAAGAATATGGGCACATTCAAAACTACTACAAAAGAGAACCCATATGTGTCAAATACTCTGGAAAACCCTCAACCAAAGATTGTAAAAAACCAATAAGTACAGCATCTAAGTGCATACACTAATATACACTAATTATAGAGGTGGCATCACTGTAAAAGCTCTGCAAAGCATAAGAAACAAAATTACAAATCAGAAAGACACAGTCAACCAAGTGAACCGAGACAATCTAGAGAAAACTGTAAGAAGGCAACAAACATTAATGGAGGCTGGTAAACCTTATGTCCAGGTAGCAAGTAATGAAATAACACCGATAGTATAGAGCAGTGCTGATCCTTTAACATCAGTAATGAATCAAATGGATAAACAGGAAGAATTTAACAAAAAAGTTCTAGAAAGGCTGGACAGACTAGAAAATAATAATAAAAGACAAAATGACTCCTGGCCTTAGGATTTTAGAATGGAACACAAATGGACTCTTACAACACCAGCAAGAGTTATTAGTGGCCTTAGAGACACAGCATGTGGATATATGCCTAATAGTAGAAACACATTCCACGAAACTTACGCACGTCAAATTAAAAGGATATCAGGGGCCTATTTCATAAAACTACTTTGCAACTTTTAAAAATACTTGTTTTCCATAAAATAAAATCGTTTAATTTTTAATTTTAAAATTTCTTCTTAAATGTTACTTTTTAATTCATCAAATTTATCTTTTACAAAACATAAATTCAGTAAAATATGCAAAGTGAAAAGTTGCAAAGTAGTTTTATGAAATAGCCCCAGATCTATAATGCCATTCATCCAAATGATTCTGCCCGAGGTGAAGCTTCTATTATTATTAAAAATAACATAACACACTATGAACGAGGAAAAATTGAAACTGAAGAAATACAAGCTGTTAGCCTACTTCCCACCCAGATATAATCTCAAAAGAGAAGACTACAATAAATTCTTGTCAAGTCTTGCTAAAAAATGTATATTAGGTGCTGATTTTAATGCAAAAAATGTTTGCTGGGGCTCAAGAGTTACTACAATCAAGGAAAAGAACTGAACGAGGCTATCAAAGATCAGAAAACGGGAAAACCTACATATTGGCCAAGCGATATAAACAAAATACCGGACCTCCTGGACTTTTTTATTTTTAGAAATATTGCTCCAAATTTTATAAAGATAGATGATGTTGAGGAATTAATATCTGATCACTTCCCAATACTCTTAACAATAAGTGAAAATATCACTAGAGAACTCAATCCCAAACTGACGAACAAACATACAGACTAGGAAAGATTTCAACTTGAAAATTGAATTGAATGTCCCAATTAAGACGGTGAAAGATTTGTATACAGAATGGAATAACACACCATTAATACAAAGGAAACCATAGGTATTAATTACCCCAAAGAAATAAGGGATTTAATACAAAACAAAAGAAAGGCTCGAAAGCAGTGGCAAAAAATGAGAACGGAAGAGAACAAAAACAAATTAAATAGACTTAAATAACAACAACGAAGAGACATAGAAAACAATTAAAAATTAGTCAACCTACAAATATCTGAGAGAGCTCACAG